AGACTCTTTAGAGTGAATTTGCTCAAAATTCAGTTTTCTGAATTGGGAACACTAAAATGGAAATCTACCAAGATCACCAGATTCTTTGGAAAAAATTATCCTTGAGCTCTGTAAATAGTTTGTAGAGTTATAAAGATTTGCCTGCCCTTTCAAATTCAAGTCAGTGTTGCGTCCCTCATGAGTTCATTGTGAGCAGGACTTGGCCCTTGTTGTTTATATTCTTTCAACTTAGAGGAAACCATCCTAAAACGTGACCTTAGTCTTGAGAAGTTTATGAAGTGGTACCATGTAGCAAGTAGGAGGTGAGGCTATAGACAACATAGCCATGAAGCAAACTGGTGGAAAATCTGTAGGGATGTGTGGGCTTTGAATATTTTAAGTAGCAAAGCACAACATAGTCTATCCAACTGTAAATCGGTTAAACTTTCTTTCCATTGTGCCTGGATAATCACAGACAGATTAATGCTAACAAAAGCTGAAACTGTCCCAATTTGGAATTACCAGTAGCCGAGGTACTTCCATGCTCAAATGTGCAACACGTCAGAAAAGATGTACAGAGGCTTGTGATGTAGGACCTCACAAAATATGGGGACTTTGTGTAGAGAATACGTGAAAGATAACTGAGAAAGAGAAACTTTGCTGACAAATAAATTTGTGGTGTGGGGATCCACATTGCCACTAAAAATCTGTTAGGGATTTGTTCCAGAAGAGATTGGAAACCACAGCACTTTGGGGTATGTTATACATCTGTGTCATAGCTCTCTCAAAGGAACTGTATATATAAACTCTGTGTCTGTAACTCTTCTTTTGTGAGCTTTAGGGATTTCACAGCGTGCTAAAAACCCAGAAATTTGCTATCCCCCTTCCGAGCCAGACAATGGGCCTGTGGCCTCACCAACAATGTATGACTGCAGAAGCGCTGGCTAGAGCCCATCTCCAAATTGGATTGGGAAGAGTTGGATCCTGTTGCTTTGTTTTTTATTCTAGTGTTTGTATCCTTTTCACACAGCTTTCCTTATGACTGGCTTTTATTTGGCCCTCAAGCTTAACATTTGGAACTTCTATTTGTTGTTTTTTTTTCCATCATCTCAGAAAATAATGTTGATTCTTCCAGCAGGCATCTCTCTTTTGTGTTTTGTTTCATTTTCTATTCTATATGAGTTCTTATCCAGTAGCTCATTGAGGCAACTGAAGCAATTAAAGCAACCAAGTAACTAACATCTGGTATGTGTTTGCTTACTCTCTTATACTCTCTCCAGGGCAAGAAGTGTGTGCTCTGGAATGGTTAGCAGTTTATTATGTTATATATGAATACTTGTTGTTTATAGAAGATCAAAGAGGCTAATGTTGCACTTCATGTTGAGAGTTGCAAAGTTTGTGGTAGCTCTGTGTTCTTAGGATGTTCATGACACAGGCTTTGGCACTCCAGGAAAGCATCGTCTTCAGCTAAGCACAGTTTTACCCTTGAGGAAAAAAGTTGGTTGAGTAAAGGGTTCCCTCGAGTAGAGAGCATGTTGTGCTGAGACAGAAGTTGTCATCTGTGGTCTTTGCCCTGTGGCTGGAGTCACTTGTTTTAATGCCACAAATTGTTCTGATGGTGCCTGGCACAACAATATCCTGGTCCATGGCTCAGAAATCAAGGTCCGTGCAAGCAAAAAAAGACATTCTTCAGATCGTGAAGCTCCTCTTGACATAGTTATCATGAAACTTTCCTGTACGTTCTTGTCTTAATCTAAAAATCAGTTAATAGTAGTAGTATAGCAGGTTCCAGATCATGGCCTTCCTAAGCAAGATCCATTTTCTCTCTGTATCTTGCATGAATTACGCCTACAGTACCCTCAAAACAAAGCAGTAAATTATTGCTCGCTGAAATTATTATACAGAGCAATTACATGGAGGCACCATTATGAATATCATCTGCATAATCAATATGGTTTTATATTGCTGTCTCAACAGTAAATCAGAGTCTAGTGTCCTAAGGATTTGCTGAGAACTAAGTTCTTGCATTAGTTATTTCTGAGTAAAACTTGCTTTTTTTTTTCGTTAGTCAGAAACACCTGTAGGTAATATGAAATTTTGATGATTTTGCCTATTTTTTTATATTAGCTTACATTTCTACTGCTGTCATCTCCATGAATTGCTGAAAGTGAAGTATAAATTTTACTCACTGAAATTAATCCATAAATAAGTTAGTTTGGTTTTGAATATAGTTTGACCTCCAATCACTCCGGTCCTTGAGATGAAAAAAAAAATAAAAAATATCAATTTACAGTGTTGTAAAAACCCAGCTTGGCTCTAGATCATGAGTAAAGCGTGGTACTGTTTATCAGCTCAGTCCTGCTGCCCTTCATCTATGAGTAGAGATCAGTGCTTTTATTTTATGTCTTAATCATTCCTAAAAGCTAAGCCTTGGGAAGTGTCTGGAGCAGCTGTGTCTTGCAATCATTCTGTTAGCTAGTAAATGCCTGTCTTCAAACTAAGGTGTAAAATCACTTCTATGTACACAGTTTATCATGCCGTAAAAGCTGGCTATTTTCTGTCTTGCTTAGTTAGAAAGCAGTATGTCTCATATAGGGCTTGCCCCATTCCCCTATGTCTCAGCAGAACAAGAACTTTATCTTGATTGACCTGTAGGCTATGCACACAGTAAAATTAATGTTTCAATCTAATTTGGATTTAAGATAAGTTGTTTAAAGGGGGTTGTAGTGTGGCCAGAAAAGAAATGCTTTTTTGCATTTTTAAAAATAACATTCTTTTTTCCACTATATAAATAAAGCTTCCCCTGGATAGAGATCTGTTTTTGCAGAATAAATTACCAGAGCAAATATGTAGTTTCAGTGTCTTCTGGGGCTGGTTGTTCGTGTGTTATACGTGTCGGTAGTTGTTATACATAGGGAGATTACTTTGAGATTTTGGAACGAGTCCCACGAAGAAGCAGAAGTAGAATACGTGAGGTTTACAGCATCAGACCCTGTGTTCCTACTTGTGTGAAGGACTATCAAAAAATAATACAAGGAAAATAGGAAGAGAGAACAGCACTGAGTAGGTCTCTAGTGAGGTTTGTGACAAACCTAAAGATACCCTTGAGTGTGGGGAAGTTAAAGGTGAGGTGAGGGAGAAGATCATGGCTCAGAAAATGGATCTGTATTAAAGCCTGATGTACGTTAACTTGTGCCCTGAAACCGTGCTACCATGAGCTCCCAGTGATCTGTTTCTCTGTTCTCACCTCATCTGGAAGGCTCCAGAGTGGCAAGAATGAAACAGAAGTCCTTTCCTTCATGGCAGTTGCAGGGACTTGCTGCTCCTCTAAACAGTAGGTGTTCTCCATTGCATTTTGTAGATACTATGAAAGTCTCAGCTGGAGGGATTCAGCTTCTGGCTGATAAACTCTTCAGCTCTCTGGACAGTTTGGTGCTTTCCCTCCCATCATGGATCTGTATCCTTGGCATTTAATCAGAAATTTGAACCTAGTTTTTAAGGCTTTTCCCATTTCCATATTTTGCTATAATCAACAAATGACAAGGACAAAATTGCACATGAGGGTTGACCCTGTGTGAAGTAGGATGGGGTTATCTCCCTTTAGATCTTGCTGCAGTAAAAGGAGATTGGGAGCTCTGCAGCAGAGTGAGTCCCTCCAAGGCAAGCAGCCTTGATGGATCACTCCATTTGGCATGATAGATTTGGGATCAGTAGCTCTGCGATGCAACTAGTTCAGTCAGTCTGTTTCAAAAATGATGAGGAAATCAGTACTGGATTAGGTAGAGGTGCCTAAGAAGTTTTGTAGTGAGTTACTCTGGGTGAATGATGGAGCTGTAGCTAGCAGTGGTGGAGATGCAGACTTATCTCTGTTCAGGGTATTCACGATTGATTTGTATCAAAAAGTCGATTCATCTCAGTCAAGTCTTCCCTTCTCCACAAGATCCCATGTTTCTAGTCTATTATTTGAAGCTACAAAAAGGTAGCCCTTGCTATCTTCACAAATTCAGGGCGTGGGGTATATGGCTCAAAAGAACTAAGCCATTAGTGCTTGTACCCGAGGCTGAATGAAAGCTGAATTGTTCTAGCGAAGAGTGAATAAAGATTGTGGGGTGGAGTTATTTTGTTCTTTTGCCTCCTGCTTGTGCTGGTGGCGTAAAGTGGGGTTCACCCTTGAGGCCCAGTATCCCAGACATCCACTCTGGCACTAACTGAAGTCTACAGTGACTCCTGTTTGAGGAAAATGCCCAGGTTTCTTTTATGTAAAGCAGTGCTGGAGCTTCTATCTCATGCCAACATACAGCAGGGGTTAAGCCCTGGTGGTGCACACACTATGAACAGGGAAATAAATATAACCTTAATGACCTTCACTAACTGAGTCAGGAGACCTTGAGGAGCCGCAAAAAATACTCAAACTTTAATATGTCCCAACTTTGAATCATAATTGGTGCTATTGCAGGAGGCAGTGAAATATGGACAGATATAGAAATTACACTCTGTTCCTTGAGTAGGTTCCCCAAGCCATTACAAAGCACCAAAGCAATTTCATTGCATGATATGAGTCCATCTGTTAGGACTGGAGAATTATGATGCTCTCTCATCACATTGAAAATTCATTGACTTCCATATTAAATTGAAATAAATTAGCTTAGTATACATCAATTAATGTTTAAGTGTCAGAGATTGAAAAAAAAATTGCTCTCTTCATGATCAGAAGTTATATATCATCTCATGACAAGTGTAAGAACTGCCAGTTTTGGCTTGAAGACAACTGCTCCTTAGAGGGAAAGCAAGAGCTAAGTTCTTCAGGAGAAGTTAACTTATTTGTTGGTAACTATATCTGCCTTTTTGAACTCAGTTTCAGCTGAGTGATGTAACTTACAGTAAAATATGAAACATTGAAATGTCCTTCTGTCTGTCTGCAGATGTCCACAGTTACTTGCTGAGGCAACATTTCTCTGGAAGTTCCATGTCTGGAAGCTCCTGTTTCCAGAAATGACATTTCAACACCAACTTCTCAGCATTACCACAGTAGTTATGGCTATGCTGTGGCAAAGTAAGAACTGCTTCTGGAACTGACCAATGTCATTAGAGGGTTGTGAGACTCCAGGTGAGTAAGAAGGCAGGCAGAAAAATACCTTCAGGGAGCGCAGATACCCAAATGTGTACTAAACAAAACTCTGAAGTCCGGAATTGGAAAGCTTCAAATACATATTTGATATGTTTTCAAGAATACAGAATTCTCTTCTATGGATGACTCTAGAAAGAAATTAATTCATATGACAACAGCTGTAATTGCAGTCCACATTCCATCAGATAACCTTGAAAATAGTGGATTATAAATTGCAACATCATATGAGTCAATACAACTCTACTGAAACCATAATTGAGAGACACCTGCTCTTAAGCTTTGTCCTAAATGTTTTGATGAATTGACATGTTTTCTGTCTTTAAACTAAAGATTTTTTTTGCATCATTGAAGTAAACTTATTTTATGACTATTGATTTCAATATGATAGTAGAACAGAGACTGATTTACTGATGGATTAAGCATTTTTCCTCCACACTAGAAAAAATTAAGGAGAACTAAATCAGAACCCATTGCTTTCAAATTTGCTAAAGCTGTGTTAAACCATCAAACTGATTTAAACCTACTTCTGTGAAGTGCTGAATAATGGTATTCATCATTTCATTTCTTTTTTTTTTTTTTTTTTTTTTATAGCATTTCACAGTAACTGGAGATGGAAAAAAGAATGTTTCACAAGAGCAAAAACTAAATTAAGTGCTCTAACAGTATCTTATGTTCTTTCCAGGTTCAATGTAATCTCATTGGGCACCAGCTGTGGAACTCTTTCGTTCAAAATGGTTTATGGTGAATTTTTCCGCAGACCTGGCAAAGATGCAGAACTTATCAATTTGAATGTGGGTGGCTTTAAGCAGTCAGTGGATCAAAACACCTTGCTCCGATTTCCACATACCAGACTAGGGAAGCTTCTCAAATGCCATTCAGAAGAGGCAATTCTAGAACTGTGTGATGATTATAGTGTTGCAGACAAGGAATATTACTTTGACAGGAATCCTTCCTTGTTCCGATACGTTCTGAATTTTTACTATACGGGCAAACTTCATGTCATGGAAGAACTTTGTGTCTTTTCCTTTTGCCAGGAAATAGAGTACTGGGGGATAAATGAGTTGTTTATTGATTCCTGCTGCAGCAATCGGTACCAAGAAAGGAAAGAAGAAGGTCCTGAGAAAGACTGGGATCAAAAGAGCAATGACAGAAGTATAGACTCCTCTAACGAAGAGTCATCCATATTTGATAAAGAGCTGGAAAAATTTGACAATCTGTGTTTTGGTGAAATACGAAAGAAGATCTGGGTCAGAATGGAAAATCCTGCATACTGCTTGTCTGCCAAGTTAATTGCTGTGTCGTCCCTGAGTGTTGTCCTGGCATCAATTGTGGCCATGTGCATTCACAGTATGCCAGAGTTTCAAAGGCTGGATGCCAATGACAGGGAGATTGAAGACCCTGTGCTGGAAGCTGTGGAGATTACGTGCATCATCTGGTTCACTGCTGAGCTAGTGATCAGGCTCATTGCTGCTCCGAGTCAAAAGAAGTTCTGGAAGAAACCACTGAATATCATTGATTTTGTCTCCATTATCCCATTTTTTGCCACATTGGCTGTGGACACGAAGGAAGAAGAAAGTGAAGATATTGAAAACATGGGGAAAGTGGTCCAGATCCTGAGGTTAATGAGGATATTTCGCATCCTGAAACTGGCCAGGCACTCTGTAGGACTGCGGTCTTTAGGTGCCACTTTGAGACATAGCTATCAGGAAGTTGGACTTCTGCTTTTGTTTTTGTCTGTTGGGATTTCTATTTTTTCAGTGCTTGTCTACTCAGTGGAGAAAGATGATGACTCATCAGAACTGCACAGCATCCCTGTTTGCTGGTGGTGGGCAACCATCAGCATGACCACTGTTGGTTATGGGGACACTTACCCGGTCACGCTTGCTGGAAAGCTGCTTGGCACCCTATGCATTATCTGTGGGATACTAGTGGTAGCACTTCCAATCACCATTATTTTCAATAAGTTCTCCAAGTACTATCAAAAACAAAAAGATATTGATCCAGACCAATGCAACAATGATCGCAAAGAGAAATGTAATGACCTACCTTACTTTAACATTAGGGATATTTACGCAAAAAAGATGCACTCCTTCATTTCTGGCCTTTCTTCAGTAGGAATTGTAGTCAGCGACCAAGATTCAACAGATGCCTCCAGCATCCAAGATATTGAGGATGTTTATAACACAACATCTTTAGAGAATGGTACAGGAAAATGAGTTGAATCGCGTTCTCTTCCCTTTATTTCTCTTCTGATTCTTGGTAAATGTGGACTTACAAACTTCAGTGAATTTATTAAGAGCAGTTAATTCTCAGGGTACTTAACTCAGCCATATTTGGACATTCTTTGCTCTGAGGATGCCATAAAAGCTTCATTGTTTATATGAGGCTTTAAAATATGCCTCATATGATGGTTTAGTTTTTACACAAATAATATTATGCATTTTTTGAGAGAAAAAGTCAGGAAAACAGTTTTAAATGTGAGATCAGTATTTGTTTGGTTTTGTGGGGAGTTTTTCTGTTTTATTGTTTGTTGTTGTTTTTTTTTTTTTTTTCCTCTGCAGCAACCTGATAGCTTATACAGAATCTGTTTTTATAATTTGCTGCTGTTCAGGTAGAGATATGTTACAAACATGTAAGAACCATCACACATGTCCATGAAGTTTTTACCTGCAAATGCATCAGGAAAAAGAAGGAATTATGTACATGTAAAACTGTGCTCACTAACACATTTGTGTAATCTTGGAGTTGGGAACCACGTTTCCTAAGTTGGGGCAGAAAATATACTGGTACATATTGTTTTTACTCCATGGAAGCATAATATTTATGAATTTCTTTCCAAAAGCACAATACATTTTTAGTTTGTTAAAATAAATTAATCCCATTGTGCCTATATTTTTCCCAATGTCCAGCATGGCAAAGCACTATCAGGTCCTGACAGGTCTAAATCAGGAGTCCCATGATGAAGAGTCTGGTGTAGGCAGGACAGGAGCTTATTGAACCATTTAGCCACCTCTTCTGCCATTGCAAACCTGAGCAATTTTGGTGCCTGGAGAGGATCCTGCTGTGATTAAGACCACCCTGGTGGCTTCCCCAGAGGCTTTGTTTTGTGGGCACTGAAGCAAACGTCTGTGGTGGTCTTTAGAAGTTATTGCTCCCTGCTGTCAGCACTGCTCCTTTGCTGGAGGTTGCTGCCTCGGTGGTAGGAGCAAATGGGAGCAGCATCTCAGCTGCGCTGGTTCCCAGACCAGGGTTGTAATGCCAAGCAACAGAGATGTGCAGATGTGCTCTTCTCTGCCATATTGCACCCATCAGAGATGTAGGGTGGGCACTGCGTGTGACCCCCCCTTATCTTAAACTATTTCAGCTCCTTTTTCTAAAGCTCATCTGTTGGTGATGGCAGCTTTTCTGGTTTGTACTGTGGGCTGGAGCGGTGCTCGTTCCTGGCAGAGTGCTGCAGCTCTGTGCGTTCCTCTCCTCCCCAGGGATTTCTTATGTAGCCAGCTAATCCTGCTCTGGTTCAAGCTGGATCTTCTTCGGCTATTTAAAAGAAAAGCCAGCCCTCGAGCCCAGCACAAAGGAGTGCTGGAGAAACTTGAGGACCTTAGAGAAGTCCATAGTGTTTCTGAACACTCATTTTCTCTCATTTGTCTAGTGACTAAATTAGATGCTGGGCAGTGGAGAATCGAAGATACTGTGATGTTGATATTTTCCTTAAAGAGAGGCTTTTTTTTTTTTTTTTAATTATTATTGGGCCAAATGCTGAAGCCCTTACTGCGTTTCTGCACAAGTGGATCAAACTCAGTAGGAGTTGAAGACTGAGTAAATCCAGAAGATGGCAATCGATTTTAGTCTCTGAAGAGGGCTGATTTTTTTCAGGTGTCTGCCAGGTTTTCTGTTTCAAAATGCATTAAGTAAGTAGCTGAGGTGCATTTACATTTACTGAGGCATGTAGCTTTGACCTCTTTCTGAGATGGAGAAACAAAAAAGAATAGGATGGATCAACCTATACCTTGAGAAGAGGTGTCCCTCAGTACTGCTGTGCACCATGTAGTGATGTGGGACTTAAAGAGAATATTTTGAACTTTGGAGAAACTTCAAAATTTGGCTTATTACTTGCTGAGTGTCATAAGTGTATGTGATGCTTCACAGATAATCAAGGTTAATTACTCCCATAGTTAGTGCAGGAATACCAAAAAGGAAAGTTAGCCCAAATGTGTTTTGTTCTTACTGAACAATGAACATTACAAAGTTGCAATGATATAAAATATTAAATATGTATGTGCATATGAATCCAATAGCAACCAGCAGAATAACAGCATAAAAATTACTCTCTGTCCAGAGAAACTCTCTTGGTAGCCTCCATATAAAGATATATTACATTGCCAGTGAAGTTCAAAAGCAATGAAAAATATTGTAATGCAACAAAAACTGCAAGAAATTTGTATTAAATAGTTGAAAAAAAACCTGCTACTGAAATATCTCATTTTATATATCAAGCGTTACCTATAGAACACAGAGCATACAACTTTTTGTATTAAATTGTAATGACTGGCAATTTTTCATGAAATTGATAAGATCTTGATCAAACACCTGGATCAATCTTAAGGCTGTGACACTGTTTAAGTTCCTTTTTTAATGCATAGCTACAACTTGCAGCAAGGTGAGGCATGTCTTTTGGAACATATCAGAAGGTAAAGTACATATCCATGTCTCAACGCGTTGCATGTTATTTTGATTTCCATCATGAGATCTCACCTTTTTCCAAATCAGTTCTGTCTTTAAAAATGGCTTTGTTGTTTTCTGTTCCCTTTGCTGGCATAAATCCAGCACCTTGGTTTCGCATCGGTGTGAGTGGGAGCAGGATGTGACCCGTGTTTCACTCCAAAAGATACTCCCCTCAAGGCAGAACCACAGTCCCGTGGTACGAGAGAGTGTCACCTGTCCCGAGTGTCAGAGGGAAGTAGATGAGAGCGAATACTGAGATACTGCTTGTTCTTCCTGCCTGTAGAAGCTTTTAGTAGAATTTACTGGTAAGAAATAAGTGCAAGAGGGGATTGTTTCTTATTTAATTTGTTGTCTTCTGTGCTCTACAGTTACATATATCATCGATGTGTAATATCAGTGTCAGCAGAAGGTAGATTGTCTATTGTTTTTATATTCCCAAGCTGCATGTTTTTCTCTTTAAAAACGCTTCCTAAATTCTCTTTACCCAGCTGCTCTGCTGCAGATGCCGAAGCACAGAAAGGTTACTGCTCAGATATGCATCACATCTTGTATGGGAGAGATTTGTTTGTCTTTATACAAAACAGTTTACTGGCACTTTATTATTTTCTTGGTCTTGACGGCAGATGCTTCCCTTTTGATACCCAGCGTTCCCACAGCAGCATCCGTCTCTGAGGCGGGTTTTCCTAGTGTAGTGTGGGAAGACACCACTGCACCGCCTTGCAGTTCCCTCTCCGAGCAGCTGCCAACTGGCAGGGGTGTCACCCAACTGGCAGGGGTGTCACCCAACTGCCCGCAGCTCGTCCCTTGCTGGGAGCAGGGTTTGTGGCTGCCACCGGTTTTCAGTGTGTGGTAGAAGAGGGAAAAGGCCAACGTAGAGGCATGAAACAAGAGAAATGGGAGAAGGTAGGAAGCTGTCAATCAAAAAGGGGGACAGAAAGCCTGAGAGGACCTTAGAAGAAAGGAAAAGAGAAAGAGGTTGACCAAAGAGTCCTCAGTTGTCTTCGCTTTGTTATTTTTTCTTGCTTTTCTTCCCTTTCTTCCCCTTCTGCCTCGCATCCCCTCCTGCTGCCCCCTGCCCTCCCTTCCCACCCAGCCTGTGGTCCAGCAGTGCTCTTTCTGTCCCAGAAGGAGCGTCTTTCTGAGTCCAGAAAGGCATCTTTCATCCACCTGGCTGGCAGCGGGCAGAACTTAGCAGGGATAGAATTAGTGAGCGGTCCTGCTGTGTATACGAGCAGTGATTACCGCACTTATGGGCTGTGCTTTTTTTGTAAGTAAGGTCACAAAGCAGCTCAAATCAATGAGCATAAAGGTGAGCTAAACAAATGGCACTGTTGTGTCAGGCTGGTAAACCAAATATCACTTATGGCTTAGGTAGAAATTGGTGTCAGGAACCATAATATGAGATATTACCATTTAAAAGCAGACTTGGTGCCGAGTCCCGTGCGAGCGGGTTGCTGTCAGGGAGTGCTGAGAGCATCAGGCAGATCTGGCTGGCAAACACAGTACCCGGGCTCGCGGCGTGCCAAGGGCTCCTGACAGGCTGCTGGGGATTAATACATTTATTCATTTCCACCCATTCCTAACATCTAGAGCAAGTGACAGAAACCCACTAAGCTGTGGAGAGTTTCTCTAATATTTTTTGATTAGCTGACAGTGTTTGTGAAGCTGCTAATACCTCTTCATCCAAAAGAGGACATTTCTCAAACAAAATCAGAGTACGCCTGTGCTAGATGTGCAGTTTGTGACTGATGGCAGTAGCTCGGTCGCAGTCAGTAAATATTGCTGTCTGGCACTGTATGGCTGCGGTGCTGTTGCTTGTATTTCTGAAATGTTTATGCTCTGTCAATCAAGAGGCAGCAGATGCCATTAAAACCATCTCAGCACTTTCCTGCTGCACAATAATTGTGGCGCCTCTTCTGAGCCCAGCAAAATGCCATGACTTGCTGAGATCTCTATTTTTTTTTTTTTAATACCTTGAGAAGAGGTGTCCCTCAGTACTGCTGTGCACCATGTAGTGATGTGGGACTTAAAGAGAATATTTTGAACTTTGGAGAAACTTCAAAATTTGGCTTATTACTTGCTGAGTGTCATAAGTGTATGTGATGCTTCACAGATAATCAAGGTTAATTACTCCCATAGTTAGTGCAGGAATACCAAAAAGGAAAGTTAGCCCAAATGTGTTTTGTTCTTACTGAACAATGAACATTACAAAGTTGCAATGATATAAAATATTAAATATGTATGTGCATATGAATCCAATAGCAACCAGCAGAATAACAGCATAAAAATTACTCTCTGTCCAGAGAAACTCTCTTGGTAGCCTCCATATAAAGATATATTACATTGCCAGTGAAGTTCAAAAGCAATGAAAAATATTGTAATGCAACAAAAACTGCAAGAAATTTGTATTAAATAGTTGAAAAAAAACCTGCTACTGAAATATCTCATTTTATATATCAAGCGTTACCTATAGAACACAGAGCATACAACTTTTTGTATTAAATTGTAATGACTGGCAATTTTTCATGAAATTGATAAGATCTTGATCAAACACCTGGATCAATCTTAAGGCTGTGACACTGTTTAAGTTCCTTTTTTAATGCATAGCTACAACTTGCAGCAAGGTGAGGCATGTCTTTTGGAACATATCAGAAGGTAAAGTACATATCCATGTCTCAACGCGTTGCATGTTATTTTGATTTCCATCATGAGATCTCACCTTTTTCCAAATCAGTTCTGTCTTTAAAAATGGCTTTGTTGTTTTCTGTTCCCTTTG